GACAATACCGCGACCGTAGCGTACATCATCCGTCAAGGTGGTCTGCGCTCCCGCCGTATGTCGCAACTCGCCTGCCACCTCCTCTTATGGAGTCAGAAGCATCTGAGGTCGCTTCGTGCCATTTATATCCCCGGAGCCCTGAACTGTGCAGCCGACGAGCTCTCAGCCCCTCCCGGGAGATTGGCGACTCCATCCCCAGTCGGTTCAGCTGATTTGGGACCAGTTCGGGGACGCACAGATAGATCTGTTTGCCTCTCACGACTCGACCCATTGCGCCCTGTATTATTCCCTGACCGAGGGCACGCTCGGCACGGATGCACTGGCGCACAGCTGGCCGCAGGGCCGCAAATATGCGTTTCCCCCAGTGAGCCTTCTTGCGCAATTCCTGCGCAAGGTCAGGGAGGACGAGGAGCAGGTCACTCTGGTCGCGCCGTACTGGCCCACCCGGACCTGGTTATCCGAACTCATACTCCTCGCGACAGCACCTCCTTGGCCAATTCCTCTGAGGAAGGACCTCCTTTCTCAGGGACGGGGCACCCTATGGCACCCTCGTCCCGATTTTTGGAACCTCCACGTGTGGCTCCTGGACGGGACGAGGCAGGTTTGAGTACCCTACCACCAGCGGTGGTGGCTACCATCACTTCCGCTAGAGCGTCGTCCACGAGACACGTCTATGCGTTGAAGTGGAACCTCTTCGTCAACTGGTGCTCTTCTCACCGAGAAGACCCCCGGAGATGTTCGGTCAGTGTCCTGCTTTCCTTTCTTCAAGAGGGGTTGGAACGAAGGCTGTCTCCCTCCACCCTCAAGGTCTATGTCGCCGCTATTGCCGCACATCATGACCCGATAGAAGGTAAGTCTGTGGGGAAGCATGACCTGATCATCAGGTTCCTGAGGGGAGCGAGGAGACTGAATCCTCCTCGCCCTCCTCTCGTACCCTCTTGGGACCTCGCAGTGGTCTTAACTGCCCTGCGCAGCGCTCCCTTTGAGCCTTTGCAGTCAGTCGAGCTTAACTTCCTGTCAATGAAGACAGCGCTTCTGACTGCATTGGCCTCCATCAAGAGGGTAGGGGACCTGCATGCATTCTCCGTTGACGAAGCGTGCTTGGAATTCGGGCCGGGTGACTCTCACGTGATCCTGAGACCCCGGCCTGGATATGTGCCCAAGGTTCCTACCACTCCCTTCCGGGACCAGGTGGTGAACCTGCAAGCGCTGCCCCCGGAGGAGGCAGACCCAGCCTTGGCACTGCTCTGTCCAGTACGTGCTCTTCGCATCTATGTAGACAGAACGCAGTGTTTCAGGACCTCAGACCAGCTCTTTGTCTGTTATGGTGGGAAGCTGAAGGGAAAGGCTCTCTCCAAGCAAAGGTTGTCTCACTGGATAGTGGACGCCATTGCTTTGGCATACCAGCAGCAAGGTCGACCGTGCCCCCTTGGTGTGACCGCCCACTCCACCCGGAGTGTCGCGTCCTCTTGGGCTTTAGCGCATGGCGCCTCGCTAACAGACATCTGCAGAGCTGCAGGCTGGGCGACACCTAACACATTCGCCAGATTTTACAATCTCCGAGTGGAGCCAGTCTCCTCCCGTGTACTGTCTTTTTCAAGCTAACAAGGGATCCGTTAGGTGTCTTCGCTTGCTCGCCATGCCACTCCTCGGACTGGATACGTGCGATATTCTCCTCAGGTGAGCTTTCCCGAAAGCCCTGAGCTCCTCCAGCACTGCTGACGCTGGCGCCAGCGTCTATTGCCTGCGCGTCGGCTAGGTGCCTTCCGTGTGCATGGTACCTCCTCTGAGCTACCCCCACATGTGTATTTCCACTGTAAGCCTCTTTGAGCACGTGTCTTTCCCTCGGCAAGCCACCTTGCCACCCCTGGGGTTGAAATATTCCACCTGCGGCTGGACACCCCAGTGATTCCCCATATGCATCCCTCGGGTCATATGTGTATTCTTAAGTCCCCCCCTCTGGGTTGGCAGTAATTGCATACTTCCCTAAAAGATCTGGGATATGCTCCCCAGTGTACCTTGGTATTCCTGTGTTAAATAGGAGTCCTTCGTCCGTGCTAGTCTCACGACAGGGATCTCAGATTTACGCAGGGCACTGGAAGACAGCTGAGAAGTGGCGTGATTAGACTGGTATCCCCATTCGTCGTCATCCGACGGAACTCGGAGTGACAACGAAAGGGAACGTCTCGGTTACGGATGTAACCCTCGTTCCCTGAGTAGGGAATGGAGACGTTCCGTCTGCCTGCCACTTCCGCTGTACCGCTGGAACAGCCGAGTTCAGTCTTGGCTCCTCAGCGAAGAAACATATCTGCATATTGCCGGCTTTCTCCTTTTATCCCCACGAGGTGGGGCGGAGTTGCGCCATGCAAATTCCGCAGACCCATGGCATTTGTTTGCCATTGGCTCGTTTTGTATACTCGAAGTCGATAGGCTTTCTAAGCGAAACCCCCATTCGTCGTCATCCGACGGAACGTCTCCGTTCCCTACTCAGGGAACGAGGGTTACATCCGTAACCGAGACGTTTTCATGAGCTTTATGCCAAAATCGTCAGTATTAAAACAATAAAAGACCTGAAATATTTCAGTTGGTGTGCAATGAATCTAAAATATATGAAAGTTTAATTTTTATCATTACATTATGGAAAATAATTAACTTTATCACAATATGCTAATTTTTTTAGAAGGACCTGTATATATATTAATATTATATTATATAAGTATATTATTAATATCGGATGGGATTGTCGCAATGCTGATGTTGTTAACATTAACAATTTGACAACAAAGTATAATTTGCACGGTTTGACATGATATGATAAGCGATCGTTAGATTTAATCAGCATGATTTACTGCAATGCTTTTTTTCCCCTTAGTTGGTCAGAACAAAAATGGATGTTACTTACTTGTTCAGATGATATTTTCTGGTGAAAATTCTTATGTTGGTCATACTTCCAAAAAGTATAATCTGTGATTCCGAATGACAGTATCCACACCGGCGCGGTGACTGACAGCTGCACACTCTCCTCAAACATTGGATTCATCCGCGCTGTGCCGTGTCGAGGCACAACTCACGTAAAGTTGATAATTCCGCGAATGACTGCAATTGCAGATTCCGAACAGAGATGGCGACAAAGAGGAAAAACTGCGGACTGCAGCTTTAAGTAAACTCTACTTAACTAAGTTAAGTGAAAGTAACAAAGAAAATAAAGTAATTTTAACTTGGCTAGTAAAAGGTTTAATAAAATCTATTTAGTTGAAGTTTCCTACATTTCACTCAAACAATATAATATTGAATTGTAACACTTTTAAAGTATATGCTTTACTTAGAAACATCTAAGAAATGAATACAATAGATATTGTGAAATACCATATCTACATATCAGAGCTTACGCATCACGTGAACGCAGAGACCTCAATACTTGGTAGACAATACACAATGACGGTAACGTTTGATGGATCGTTTTTGTGTTTGAATGTGTCATTTTGAGTAGAAAATAAACTCCAAATGTCACAAAATTTACTTTTTTTATGCCTGAACTAACTTTTTCATGTAAATTAAATTGTTTTTTCTGTAGTATTTACTTCACCACAAAATAATTTTTATCAGTGAAAGTGTAGTTCTGAGAATTATTTTGTGAAAAAGAAGTACACTTTAGCATACTTTTAAAAAGAGTAATTATTAATGATGTAAAACACTTTAAAAGAATATACATAAATGCAAACTAGATGCTTAATTGCAATCCATTATATTTTAAATTGATATTAAATGCAATTAGCTGAACTTTAGAGGGATTTTTCAGACCTACTTAAATACAACTTAAGTAGGAGTAGCATTTATGGTAAAAATAAATAAAATGTAATTGAACAATTGTAATGAAGTTTCAATTTAGTACATTTAAAATATATTAACTTTAAATGTAATACTGAATAACACACATACTGAATAACACACTAGTCAAAAGTATAATAAAGTACTTTACTTGTGCTTTAGTATGTTGGTCAACACTTCAAATTAAGTGTACTTCTTTAAAGCATGACAAAAGAATGTTAAACAATAATGATTTAAAATGTATTTTAAATTAAACCCATTAATTTGGCATTTTTACAAAGTGTACTTAATAGTCTAATAATCTCTTGAAGTACACTACAAGTGCACATTCAATACAACCAAGCACACTTCTTCACAAGGGCAGATTGCTCCAGCAGTATATTTGAGAGTAAATTGCAATTGATTTGACATTTTGCATTGAATGCTATGACATTAAGACATTTAAAAAAAAAAGTCAAAAGCCCAAACAGTTTAGAAGTGTCCAAATAGTTTATAGGGTCACTGTTGGTTCTTATTAAAAACATAGTGTGTACAATAGCTCAGGGTCCTTTGTCTGTTACATATATTCCTTTATTAGATGTGTAAAAATGGCTTGTACATACATCAGCTTTCTTTCTGCGTCATTGACAATAGCACATTTCTATATACATACACTATGGCCTCTCAGTTGCTACTTAACGCAGTTCTTTCTTTCATATTTCTCCTTTCATTCCAGTTCCTCTCTTCCAGTAGATGTCATCTACATACACACATCTGGTTAAAATCTGCTCCTGTCCTCCAGCAAAGTATCGGTTTCTCCCAGGCCTGTGTGGCATTATCCTGTAGCGTTACATCATTTCCTGAGCATGCCCAGTGAGTTTCAACCCAGGGACTATAGCCAGCGGAGATCTGCTTATGGGTAAAGGTAAATGGGTTCATTCTCTCGCATGGCTCAGCAAATATAGCAGCTGTTTAGTGAAAATATCATAAAAAAAGACAAACATCTTAAGTTTTGTGTTTGGTGAACACTGTGTTTGGTTGCATTGTCACAGGATGGCTTGAATCCACTTTTCCAAGACCAGTTCTTGCCATTGACTACTTGAAATCAATTCAAATTTTGAAATTACACTTTTTCGTGGTTCAATATTTACACACCTGTGAGACAAATATGAATTCTCCTTCTTAACATCTCTCAATAAACTCGACAATACAACAACTCTTCTCATATATATGCACCTCTATTTTCTTTTTTCCATTTAGTGCACACGCTAAATTCTAGTTTTGTTGAGTTCAGAGTTAAACAGGAAATGTTTCATATTCCTGCTCGTCTCTAACACATATACATAGTCCTGGCATATTGTGTTGTTTTGGTCCCGCATGTGACTCGTGAAGGCTTAGTGATACTCATCCAAAAGTAAGCGTGACACATTTTCGAACACCAAGAAGGTGATGCAGCACGCTGGAATGACTCGCACCAAGTTGGGGATCATCCCTTTGTAAAAGCCCTCGATCCCCTCGTTGCTAGAGAGAGACAAACACAAACATGTTTTGAAAAATCCCTTGTATTTATTTAAAATTCTCAATTGATATTATTATTGTTATAAAAAAAATAATTCTATGCCAAATCAAAGTCATATGGTAAAACCAACATGCGGATTTGCAATTTCCTTAAATCAGGAAATGACATCATAGAGAGGACCCTCATGACTGTGTCATGGTCAAAAACCTCTTAAAATATATAATAGTTTGACCTTTTTATGACAATACAAGGTTAGTTCAGGTTGTAAAATGTCATGTGGTGTGGCTCCCCAAAAACATAATGACGTTTTACCTTAAAATGTATTTAATAACTTTTTCATAAAGTAATGATTAAGATGTGTATTCTCACATGTACTCAAGCTGTAAGAAAAATATCAGTTTTATTTGATGATTACACCACATGACATTTTTGGAGTCAATAAATGTTGTTGTTTTTTCAAAATTATAGGAAACCAAAATGAATATAAAGAATATTTATATCAACTTGGCACATGTATATTAAACTAGATTTAAAAAAAAATATTTTTCTTGTACTTGTACAATTTTAATTTATTATTTATTTTATCGTCTTTATCATGGATACTCTTATAAAGCATTGACTTATAAATATTCAAAAAAGTATTAAAGGCAGGGAAGGCAGGTTTTTTCTAAAACACTTTTCCCCAAATTTGTTTAAACTGTCTTTATATACCAATACATATTTAAAATGTAAGTACTCTGAAAAGGAGAGTATAAAGATCGAGTGTCTGTAGTCCTCTCAGGGCTGCAATAAACAAACACAGCTATTTATTCCATTCGGAACGAATGAAATGATTGGATGGGCGACTGTCACTCTCCCTCGCTACCATGGCTACCACCCTTGCTGCTACAGGAGCTGCCCATATGCGTGCACTCGGTTGACTCACTCGTTACCGAATCAAACTCAATAGGAGCTGAGAAAAAACCTGCCTACCCTGCCTTTAATCTAGCACAAAAAAAGAACGAGACATATACACTACCATTCAAAAGATTTTTGTTTTAAGAGAAATGAATACTTTTATTTAGGAATGCTGCATTAAATTCACCAAAAGTGACAGGAAAAACATTTATAATGAAAAAAAAAAAATCTATTTCAAATAAATGCTGTTCTTTTAAACTTTCAATTTATCAATGAAAGTTTTTTTAAATTGTAGTAATATTTCACAGTTTTTTTTTATTTTTTATTTTTTACCGGTATTGTGATCAAATAAATGCAGCCCTGGTGAGCATTAGAGACTTCTTTCAAAAACATTTTAAAAAATCTTACTGAACCCAAACTTTGAATGGTACTATAGATTAAATGTTTTTAGAAAAAAAAAAACTAATTATTTAATTATGGAGAGTCAAAAACATGTCAAAACAATGTATTAAACATTTAATTAAATGTATTATTATGTCTACATTGAATATAAATGGGTCTTTTTTTGGTTCAACTTTAATAAAATATTTTATTCACCTAGAAATTGCTTTAGCAAGCTTTAAGTTTTTATTTCCAGTTATCATGAAGGGTCACACTTAAAGGCACACTGTGGAACTTTTCAACCTTTATAATATATTACCAAAACCCATTGAGATGGTACATCGACTTACAATAGGTTGAATGACACGTCTGCCGTAGCCTGAAGGTGTCTGTCTCGCTTTTCCTAGCACTATGTAACTTCAGGGTTCGGGTAGGAACCCGAGCACAAAAAGAACTACAAAATTCGACCGCTTTACGGCATACGTCACTTCCCCCACCACCCACAACTTCCTCAGATTCTGACGTGAGTGCTCAACTCGCGTTTGATTGCCGTCTGTATGTTTTCGTCATGGCCGAACCAACAGCTACAAGGAAGAAGGCAAAGGTTTTGTCAGAGGACACTAAAAAAAGAAAAAGGCATAGTGACAAATGAAAAGCCAGGACGAGGATCACCATTGGTCCAGCGTTCGCTCGCTGGCGTGAGCTACAGGAGGAGGAGGGGTGCCCGACCGATGCTGACGCTTGCCTGCACACAAATGCCGTTTCCAAGGTGACACAGATAAATCATATAAGTAGTGTAGTATTTTCTGGTATTCCGGCCACAGCCGATGGTGTTATGAGTGTAATAAAATGCCCACAGCCCATTGTTCATTTCTACACACAAACACAGCCCGCCACAGTGCAGGGCTCGAACAAATAAAATCGACTCATGTCAAATGTACATTAAATGTAGTGAACGTTCCCACGACTCAGTGCCCACAAACACTACACACAACATGTCCCACGGTTTCTGTAAAACGAAACCAACACACATACAGTCAGCTCAGGCCGACCGTGTTTTTAGTGCAGTAAATGTGCCCGGCCCGCCGTCCCGCGCCCACATTCACTCACAGACATGTTAGCACTAAGCCGCTCGCTCTCTCTCAGCAGACTGCTATAAGGGAATCGAGCGCGGCCAGGCTGCCCGCCTCAAAAACTGCAAGCACACACAATCTAAAGACACGGGAGGCTGACCCACTGTCTATGGGTGGACCGGTTGACTGTTTGTTGACTTTTGCGACAGTGCTGCGGAGCTTGTGGCCTCTAGGGACGCTAGACGTGAAAGTTACAGGTCGAGCGCCACTAGTGGCCAAAAGTTCCGCAGTGTGCCTTTAAAGGCACTGTGGAACTTTTGGCCACTAGGGTGCGCTCGACCTGTAATTTTCACGTCTAGTGCCCCTAGAGGCCACAAGCGCCGCAGCATTGTCGCAAAAGTCAACAAACAGTCAACCGGTCAACCTCCCGTGTCTGTATGTGTGTGCAGACGGCATTTGATTTGTATGTTGGAGAAAGTTAATCGATTCACTACTGACCAAAATATTAATATAAATATAAGATTAATAATATAAATCCTATAAAGAAAACAAATTGAATAAAAGTAGCATACGCAGAAAACAATGTCTGATCAGGTAAGTCGCATTGACAAGGGTTGCCCAATCCTGCTCCTGCCGATCGTCTGTCCTGCACAGTTCATCTCCAACCCTAATCAAACACACCTGAAGCAAACAATTAACGTCTTCAGGATCTCTTTGCAATGGGTTGGAGATGAAATCGAGTAGTCGGGAAATCGTGTAACAAAACTGATATAACTCACTACATATTTCCGTTATTTGTAGTCTTCAGTTTGTTTTTCCTTTTACACAAATACAAACATATATGAGCTGAAAGGAAAAAAAAAACATTTACATTTGTATACGGCAGTATGTTGTGACTTATATCAGTTTTGTTACACGAATTCGCAGTAAATATTACATTACCGGTATATACACTTTTATGCCGATGTTTATTTTAAACTCTCCCTTTTTCTTTTTTTGGTCTCCTCTGACAAAATCTTTGCTTTCTTCGCTTTCTTCCGAGTAGCTGTTGATTCAGCCATGACGACAACATACAGACGCCGGCAATCAAACGCGAGTTGAGCTCTCACGTTAGAATTTGAGGAAGTTGGGGTGGTGGGGGAAGTGACGTATGCCGTAAAGCGGTCGAATTTTGTAGTTCTTTTTGTGCTCGGGTTCCTACCCGAAACCCGAAGTTACATAGTGCTAGTAAAAGCGATACAGACACCTTCAGGCTTCGGCAGACGTGTCATTCAACCTATTGTAAGTCGATGTACCATCTCAATGGGTTTTGGTAATATATTATAAAGGTTGAAAAGTTCCACAGTGTGCCTTTAAGATTAGGGTCTCACTATTTATTATTACTTTCGCCTCAAACACCTAATTACTGCTTACTAATAGTTAGTAAGGTAGTTGTAAAGTTTAGGAATTGGGTAGGATTAAGAGTTGTAGAATATGGTCATGCAGAATAAGGCATTAATAATTGCTTTATAAGTACTAATAAATAGCTGATATCCACGTAATATGTATACAAATAAGCAACTAGTTAATAGTGAGAATTGGACCCTAAACTAAAGTGATACCTCATGAAGGACTGGCACATTTCGATTTATTGGTCTAAAACGGTGGGCATACATGATACTGTACAGTACAATTTCAGTCATATGAAGCTTTCCTTTTAAAATTGGGCAGTACTTGGCCAAAATAAGCTGCAAAGTCTACCAGAGGTATTGAAAAAGTGGTAACACTTTACAATAAGGTTCATTAGTTAACATTAGTTAACTACCTATAGTTAACGTGAACAAAGAATGAACAATACTTCTACAGCTTTTATATTATTATTATTTTTTTGTTAGCATTAGTTAATGCGCCGTGAACTAACATGAACAAACAATGAACAGCTGGATTTTTATTAACTAACATTAACAAAGATAAAAAAAAATACTGTAACAAATGTATTGCTCATTGTTAGTTCATGTTAGTTAATACATCAACTAATATTAACTTATTGTAAAGTGTTACCGAAAAAGGTTTACAATATAAAAGTCATGCTGTGCTGTCCCTCCCCCTATCCTGAAACCATAAGGCTGATTTTATTTCCCCATCAGCAGGGATTCAAATGAATTGTGAATGCTTTTTTTCAGAATGAATTGATCCAATTTTATTTTATTTTATGTTACATGTTTTCTTCTGAGGTAAGGTAGGGCATATAGGTAAAGGCAATCTCTGAGTGCTCTGTGATGGAGTTTGAAGAGAGTTTATGTCCCATGTGATTTCATACCTCCATGTTCTCCTGATGACATCCACGATTCCACTGTAGTTGTTGTGCTGGTCCTGCAGGCGAGCGCGCACCACCTGATATGGGTAGGTCACTGCTACAGCAAATATTTTGGAAATGGCTGCCATGGTGATGTATTCCAGTGGAGACTGAAGCAGAGACAGACAGTAAGGAGAGACTGACTCACATCCATGAAACAAAGATCATTACTGGTTCCAGTACACATAAACCTCTCTTTCTAAAGGTTACAATACAGTCAAAAGCCACATAATCGTGCGGGTCATTCTTTGTATGTGGTGCCTTTTCACCTTATAAGATGAATTAATTTATAGTTTAAGACACTGGTGGAGCTCAAGAGTTTGGAATTGTATTAGCTGTTGTTATTCTAAAAAGATTTCCAGGTCTGAAAATGTAACATTTTATATGTTATATTTAAACCTGGAAAAGTCATGGAAATATATATATATATATATAATGTATATTTTGTTTAAGTCAAAAATATTTAAATCAGCTATAAACTGCTTTAGCAATATTTATAACATTAAATTATAATATGTTTTTATTTCTAGTTATCATGAAGGATTGGACCATATCAATTTAATGGTCAAAAACAGTTTGTGTACATTGCAAATACATACATACATATACAATTTACCGTTGTATGACCCTATCCTGTCAAAATTGGGCAGTACTTGGCCAGAATAAGCAAGAAAGTCTACCACAGGTATAGAAAAACTTCATAATTTTCATTTGAGCAGATATTTAAGATATAAAAGTCATGCAGTGCTGTTCCTCCTCCTAGTGTATCCTGAAAACGTAAGTCTGGTTTTATTTCCTCACCAGCAGGGATTCAGACGGCATCTTCTTATATTTGTTCTGCTCTCTTTTTAGCCATTCATAGGTCATGAACTGCAATGCAGCATGGGAAGTCCCCACCAGCCCAGGCACAAAACCCTGCAGTGGCAGAACAACAAAATGAGGCTCACAAAAAAACAAAGCCACAATCACACAGTTACCTCATAGTCTAAGAGCAATTGACCTAGACTAAAATTAAACTAGAGTGACCTTTACTACGATATGTAATAATGTTAGGAAAATTTGGCATGTCTCTGATTTTAGCTTTTAGCATATACTGTATTTAGGGCTAACTTGAATCACCGATTAGGAACTGTATCAATCCTTCAAATATAGTTCAATCACACCCTCTTGTGGCCCTACAAAGAACTACAATGTTAGAGAGTAAAATAATGGATCACTCCACTATTTTAAAGTCAACATGAAACTCATTTAAGTCCATAATGTGACTTATATCAGAGTAAACATGATATTCAATAAAAATAGGGGACCAGGTTATTAAACAAACATTAAGAAAGACAAACTTATTTCTATGCACATGAAAAAGAAGCACGCTGAATTGTATTGAATGCACACTTCAAGTGCTTCAAAACTTATAATTTAAAAACTGGACTTGCAGATAATATAATATTAATGAAATAAAAGGCCACTTAAGTGTACTTAAAGAGAGTACACTTTCATGACTGTTTTCCTAACACACTTAAGTATACATTTAACAAGTCTTTGTATTAATGTCAAATTAAAAGTTTTACTTTTAAGTGCATTATAAATCATTATAATTTAATGCATTTGCCGTGCTTTAAAGTACACTTATTTTGATGTGTTGACTAACATACTAAAGCACATGTAAAGTACTTGATTATAATTTTGACTGCAGAGTGCAATTAAAACTTTCATTTAAAGTTACTGTATTTTAAATATACTAAATTGCAACTTCATCATCATAAAAGTATTATTACAAATGTATTTGAAAACATATGATGCACGTTTCAGTAACACTTTATTTTGAGGAGACGTAGTTACACGTTACAGTAAATTATGCATAATTACAAATAACTAACCCTAAACTAAACCCTAACTGTAACTCTATAGACAGTACATGTAGTTAATGAATATTACTCAGTACTTATTTGAATAAGTACAATGTAACTAAGTCACCTTAAAATTAAGTGTAACCCAAGTTTCAATACAAATGATGCTAAAGTATCTTTTAGTTTAAATGCTTGTCACTACATTCGGCAGCACACTTTAACCATAAATTCTTTTTGGCTACTTTTACTGAGTATCTAAGATATTAGCAACTTTTACTCTCTACTTGACTATATTTTTTAATAAGTATATGTACTCTTTACTCCAATACATTTGTGATGAGGAATGCAATTACTAGTTATATTTTACAGTTTATTTCTGCTAAAAAAGAAGTAATATAGCCATCTACAGGGCATTGCAGATACTATATCTTGTGCATAGTTGTTTTATAAATGAGATGAGGCCGAAACAAGTGTCCAGTGCAAGTAGGCTTTTGACATTATTTTATTTATCCGTTAAATTGAAGAGACCTTTTTGAAGGATGTTGGTTTGCTTATTCCCTTTTTGAGCACTTGAGTTTGACTGTTGTGTCAACCTTGATTTATTGCAATTTTGAGGTGTCGATTAGTATTTTGATTTTAGAAAATAATATTGTGATTGCTCTCCTCCTTGTTTCTTGTTTTGCACTGGCCCGGTTTCACAGACAGGGCTTAGACTAAGCCAGGATTAGGCCTTAGTTCAATTAAGACATTGAACTTTTATAAGCTTTTATAAACATTCCTCAGAAGAAAAAAAAAAAAACATTACTGGTGTGCATCTTGTGACAAAACAATGGCACCGACTTATTTTAAGATACGTTAGTGCATGTTGCTTTCAGTTAAAACAACTCAAACATGCATTTTAGTCTGGGACTATGTTTAAGCCTTGTCTGTGAAACCGGGAGTAAGACTTTTACATAAGTCGTATTGGAATTGGTGACTTGTAACTTTTAACAGAGTTATTTTCACTGTAAGGTATCTGTACTTTTACTCAAGTATGGTTTTCAGGTACTCTTTATACCTCTGGTTTAAGACAGTAACATTTTGATTTCATGTTGACTTTAATCTTGAGATTAGCACACATGAAAGCTCTATTACACCTGTAACAGGATCTCAGGTTAGTTTAAAATCTGTAGATGTACCCTGTATAGTCCCGGGATACCCTCGTGACGGTATATTTTCACGAGGGCGTCCATCATTCCCTTGTACTGCTTCCGTGACGGGTCTGCATTGTACTGCAGCACCAGCCGGGTCTTTGTCACCCAGACCGGGTTGGTGAGGCAAAGCGTCAGAATGCCTGGAAACATGGAACAGGGGACCTTCACACCAACATTTAACGAAGTCATTCGTCGTTAGTGCTCTGTATGAGATCTTTTTACGTGTAAAAGAGACCAATCAGAATAATATTTCAGACCCGTATTATTTTATGCAGGCTGAGGTTGATATATAATGTGTTTTGGTAATATTGTGAAAGTTGAAGTGTGCTAACTTCCTATTAGTTAGTGATAACATTGTATTGTACTGATATTGTAGGACTATTTTCTCCCTCAATACTCTTTGGCGTGCGATGGGGGAAAGGCTGATTGTTTCACTTCCTGAGCCGAGACCACAGTTTTGCTGCTTCTCTATTTTCCATTGTTTTTTTTTGTTTTTTTTTGTCAGTTTCAACATATCCACATATAAAACAGTTTTGAGGTTGGTCATTCCTGTTATGTAATATATTTTCATATCCCCATTATGTGTATCTTAATATACAGGATCAAATATTAAAGCCCATTCCAATCTTCAAGTAAAAACTAATTGTGAGGCAAGATAATTATGAGGCAAGTTTAAAATAGGAAATAAAATCACATTAAGAGATATAAAGTACCAATTACAAGATATAAAGTTGCAATTAAAATAAATAAAGTTGCAATTACCTGAAATAAAGTTGCAATTACTGTTTTTTAATCTGAGGCCAAAACAGGCTTCCATACAATTAAGTCAGCATACAGGTTCATTTTAAAGGAAAGTCACTAAGACAGACTTTACAGACTGTTCCATATGAAGGCTTTGAAGATTTATCTGAAACAGCATTATTTTCAGTAAAATGTGCTCATTGAGTGGCAAAACTGACTGCATATTATTCCTGCATGGGCTGGAATGAACTGTGATATTGCAAAGCATTTTTACCATATTTCTTCAAAGAAATCAAATTACGCATTAATGTGATTAAAATCTGCAGAGACTGCAAATCAGAATCAAGGCCAATGCTTCACACAGTCAACTGAAAACAGAGAAGTCTCAACTGAAAGCTGATAATGTTAGTGTGAGTGAAGAGAACGTAGTTTACTATGCTACTCTGAATACTAGTTCAACTTAAAAGGTGAAACTAATATATTATATAGACTCATTACATGCAAAGTGAGATATTCCAAGCCTTTATTTGTTATAATTTTGATGATTATGGCTTACACCTTATAAAAACCCCAAATTCAAAATTAGAATATTGTGAAAAGGTTCTCATAGCTGTAAGCCATAATCATCAAAATTAATGAGTCTATATAATATATTAGTTCCACCTTTTACGTTGAATTACTGAAATAAATGAACTTTTGCACGATATTCTAACTTCGAGTTTCACCTGTATTTCCTCTGCTGTTACCTGAATCAATACGTAATTGAATTAATGTTAAGTTTAAGTTACTGGCAACAACACTTTACCATATTTTTGGATAATTTATGTAAAACTGGGGTTAAAAAAAATGTTTTTGATAGAAGTCTCTAATGCTCACCAAGGCTGCATTTATTTGAATAAAAGATACAGTAAAAAAATATCTATTTATATCGTGACAAGGAATTAAGAATTTGATCACTTGTTTTAATTAAATTACTAATAATAATTACTAATAATAATTCAATTACTAATATGTCAGTACGAAACTCTTTTTTTAAAGTCTTTCATAAACAGCATTTATTTGAAATATAAATCTTTTGTAACATTATTAATTCCTTTACTGCAAATTGAATGCATCCGTGCTGAATAAAAATATTAAAGGAGCTGTATGTAAGAAATTTATTTCAATTAATCATAAAATGGCCTTGATATGTCACTAGACATTAAGAAATCATGTTCATTTCAAATACTTATATCACTGACAACAGTAGTCCGGCCAGGATATTGTCCTTTAAAAAGTGAAGTTGCAGCCCTCAACTGATGTTGATGTTGTCATGTTGTGTTTTGGTCTGATGCTCCTCCCTCCACCTATCTACCAATCACAAAGTCAGTAGTGTTGCGGCATCCGGGTTGCCAGCTCTGCTCTAGTTACCACAGCTGCAGCTCGTCACGTTCCTGCTGGATCCTGCAGCCTATCTGGCAACCTCGAGTCAGGGAGGAGGGCGAGGGGATACACCGCTCTACAGTAATTTGAAAGTGATTGCAGTACCAGTTTTGGCCACAATCTTACATACAGCTCCTTTAAGTATTTAATTTTTTTTAAAACAACAAGAAAATCTTACTCACCCCAAACTGTTAAATTGCAGCTAAGCAACATTTGCTTAGGTAGGATTGGTCAGGAACATTTTCAAGGCAGGGCTTAACAAAGGGTCAATTTATTAAGAAATATTCCAGGTGCTTCTTAATATTTTTTCCTTTCTCTAATCAAATGGTTTTCAAATAAAACAAGTTTTTGGTAATATTGTTTTAAGTTGGTTATTAATGTATATGTCCACAATATCACTTTTCATTCTGTTAATTTTTTTAACATTTCCTTTTAAACTTCCTTAATGACAACATCCTCCAGGAAGACGTGGATTTAAAGATTTACGGTATTATCTGGTTTATGGCAAGAAAATATTTCATCCTGTTAAACATTTTAATTAAAATTGAACCACAATACCAAAAAACATTTTTGAAAAGTGGCTAACTATATCAAAACTAACTTGAAGTTATCTTGCATTAAAATGAACTTGATGCCCTCACAGGAGATCTTAAAGAGCAGGGGGAAATTGCAGTTATTTCCATCCTGTTTGTTTTCTTTGTAACTAACATTGTGTAAAAATCAAGTTATAATTAATAAAGTTTAAGTGTCTGGGTTCGATGTGGTATACAGCCTGATATATATTTTCATCTATCGAGAATGCTCATTTCACAGTTGGTAGTTACAGAGTGGAAAGCACAGCCAAACGGAACGGGATATAACAGCCATAACAGGAACGACCCAGCTTGCACAGAAGAAAGCACAGTCTCCAAGGCCTCTGGCATTCCAGTTGTTCCAGTCTCATAACTGAGCTACAGATTTAGCGGTGTTTACTTTTGTCAAGCTCACAGGTGGCTCTTTTCTCATACTGACCCGCCTCCGCTGCAGACACCAGGTGTTCGCCAGCACTCAGCTCTGTTTGCCGTCCCTCCTGTGTGTATGCTTTAATAGCATTATAACTGTGGGAAGATGAAAAAGGGCCACATTTTATTCCCGAGAGCCATATAGCACATGGATATCTATTGTACAGTGCATTACAGTGCTATAAAATGAGCATCCTTTATACAATTGTTATTGAATCCCCATGAGGATTTTAGTGAGGGTAGGCTTACATTAATGGAAGAGAAAGAACTAAAATTGTTATCATTTACTCCCTGTATGACTTGAGTAAATCATCACATCATTTATTTTTTATTTTTGGGTCAATACTGCTGTATGTAAACCTCACTCCCCCGATCTCAAGAGGCGCTTTAGCAACTGATGCTAGAGGCTGCGGTCTTTACGTCCGCCTCCTACGCCGGAGACCCCGGTTGGAATCCTGTTTGGAGTGGGTTGAGTAGGACAGGTTATATTTGGTGAAGTGACCCGGATGGGAGTGAGGTTGAGGGGGGTGAGTGTAACGGACGTAGGCCAGTAAAAGTTGTGCGTGTAAACCTCACTCCCCTGATTTCAAGAGAGGCTCTAGCGAATGATACTAGAGGCTGCGGTCTTTACGCCCGCCTCCAAAGCCAGAGACCCCAGTTTGAATCCCACTCGGAGAGGACTGAGTAAGACCAGTTACATTTGGTGCCGTGACCCGGATGGGAGTGAGGTTTAGGGGGGTAAGTGTAACGGACGTAGGCCAGTAAGAGCTGTGCGTGTAAACCTCACTCCCCTGATCTCCAGAGGCGCTCTAGCGGATGATGCTAGAGGCTGCGGTCTTTAGCGCCCGCCTTCCACACCGGAGACCAGGTTGGAATCCCGTTTGGAGTGGGATGAGTGGAATCCCGTTTGGAGTGGGATGAGTAGGACAAGTTACGTTTGGTGCCGTGACCCAGATGGGAGTGAGGTTTAGGGGGGTGAGTGCAATGGACGTAGGCCAGTAAGAGCTGTGCGTGTAAACCGCACTCCCCTGATCTCAAAAGGCGCTCTAGCGACTGATACTAGAGGCTGCGGCCTTTAGCGACCGCTTCCCACACCGGAGACCTAGGTTCAAATCCCACTCGGAGAGGGGTGAGTAGGACAGGTTACATTTGGTGCCGTGACCCAGATGGGAGTGAGGTTGTAGGCGGGTGAGTGTAACAGACGTAGGCCAGTAAGAGCTGTGCGTGTAAACCTCACTCCCCTGATCTCAAAAGGCGCTCTCGCGACTGATACTAGAGGTTGCGGTCTTTACGCCCGCCTCCAACGCCAGAGACCCCGGTTGGAATCCAGCTCGGAGTGGGTTGAGTAGGACAGGTTACATTTGGTGCTATGACCTGAATGGAAGTGAGGTTTAGGGGGGTGAGTGTAACGGACATAGGCCAGTAAGAGCTGTGCGTGTAAACCTCACTCCCCTGATCTCAAGAGGCGCTCTAGCGACTGGCGCTAGAAGCTGTGGTCTTTAGTATCCTTGTTAGCGCGCCCGCCTCCCACGCCAGAGACCCTGCTTCGAATCCCGCTCGGAGCGGGCCAAGAAGGACCGATTACACTGGATATAAGATTGTGGAGTTACATCTTTTCAGATTTATTTTTATGGTCAGATCGCCTGATTTTATCTCCTGAGAAATATGACCTTGCTTAATTTTTCTTACACACCATGACAGGAGAAAAGTTCCTCTTAATATTACAGCGTACTTTTCAACTGATTTTGAAGGACAAAGAACAAATCAACAAGGCTCTTGCTACTTATATTTCAGTGTTGCTACCCATATAATGTTCTTGCACATGCACACTTTGTTTGCTAGTGATCCTGATCTGAAATTAGGTCAGATAACTTCATGGTGTATCTTCATAACTCGTACAGTATCAACTGACAGCACTGTTGGCTGCTTCTTTTTTTGGCCTGTGAACCTGATGCCTTTTCAAAAAAATTATTCCAATATAATATATTATTCCAATATAATATCAAAATCATGTGATGGCAAAGCAGAATTTTCAGCATCATTACTCCAGTCTTCTGTGTCACATGTTCTTTCAGAAATCCTTCTAATATGATGATTTGGTTCTCAGTGTTGAAAACAGTTTAATAATATTTTTATGGAAAATAGGAAAATGCAATACGTTTTTTCAGGATTCTTTGAGGAAAAGAAAGTTTAAAACAACAGCATTTGAAATAGAAATCTTTTGTACCATTATAAATGTCTTTACTGTCACTTTTGATCAATTCAATGCATCTTTGGTACTAACTCGAAGTTAGAAGTAGATTCAAACAAGAAATTCCATTCTGTGCTTCCCTTTTAACACAACTTCGACTACTTACAAGAGGAAGTACAGGCCCCATGATGCCCCAGCCCCCCAGATGTTGGGGGTTACACCCTGATAGAGACCTCTAATTCCTTCCAGCTTCCAGATGGTCTTCATGCAGTGCATCATGCCATCGTATTGGGGTCGCATTTTCAAACCATCACTTACTGGAAAGAGTAAGAAACAGTGGGGGGGGATAACACACTCCCACTTCTGCTTCAATGTTATCTAAAAATATCCGTAAAAAGGCACTGAGGCCAGTGCAAAAGTACAACTACCTGTGTTGTGGCCTCTGTGTTTGTTTTTCTAGTGTTTATGGATGTGTCTCAAAACCTACTGAGCATGAAAACAACATGCTTTTGGAGATTGTGAAACTGGATCAACAGATCGTTTATTCCTATAATGTTTGTATAGTAACACTTTTTTGATGACAAGCACAAACTGGGTTAAGTAACCATGAAATCAAAATTGACAATTCTTGTTTTGGAATACTGCAGTATTTATTATAAATAATTTATCTGTGCACATCATTATTATTATTTTTTCATAATGATTAATAAAAATAACTTCCCCTCCCTATTGCGACAACATCTCTTCTCTGACGTGTTTATCGATGTGAGGGCGGGACAACCTGTCACTCACATGAGATCACAGAAATAACAAACCAAAATGATCCAATCAATTCCCCATCCAAAATCTAGCCCTGCCCTGTATTTTTTCCTGTTCGATAAGCTATTTCACAAAGATATATGGATCACTAGGAAAGAAAATTCTATCGCAACTTCCATTTCATGCCAACTTTAAAATTCTAAATATTTCATTAATTTATTAGAAATAATTGGAATAGTGGTGGAACATTAATAATCTCATTTAAATAATTAATTTTATTATTCAGTGAAAAAGCAAGTGCCTTGTTCTCTGTTCCTAAAACTTGTAAAAATAATAATGACCAAAAATGTACACATTTATACAACATTTCATCAATTAAATATATTATTTTCATTTTCTGAGTGTGCTCTGTTATAACATATCCAGTTATTGTGTTATTTTGTAATTTAATTAAAAAGCTTTTCTAGACAGTATATTTTTTCCAATAATGCATTCACCTAATGATGCCCTAAGGCAGCTCTAACGTTATAGGTTTTGAGACACACTCTGCAATTTTATATAAGGAGAACGTAGTTTACATACCTGCAAACCTGATTTTGATCAGATCGAGGGGGTGTAACACCATTGTGGAAATAACACCCCCACTGAGTCCAGCTGCAAGATTTTCATATTTGATGTGTTTAGAGAGTCGCAGGAGGCTTGCTGTAATGGAAAAAGAAGAACCAGAGGAGTCTGCAGCGACTGCAGCATTTCTCTGCCTGGAAATGGTAGCAGTCATGTTTGTTTACGTACTAAAGACGGACACCCTGCGTGCGCAAGAGGCAGTAAAAACAATGTAAGTGCAGACAGCGACACACTAACCCCGTTATTAAAGAAAAAACGTCAAGTAACCAATTCCCCTATTACATTCAATAGCCGAAGCTGGGCCATTATTGTGCGCTTTCATTTCTTTCAACGTCTGACCTCCACTCCTCTACACTGTGAGAGAAGGTAAATAACAGAGCGTGATGACGCATATAAGTGGGCGGAGCAACACGCGTCGCAGCAGTGGATCTCCATCACATGTCATATGACGTCATTCAAAGATCAGACCTCTCCACAGGCTCTACAAATCTGTGCATGTGAGCTTTGTTTTGAGATCAAGCGTGAGCGACTATATTTAACGACGACTTAATACACTATATTTACAACCTACTATTTATATGTTTATAGTAAATGTACTAACGTTATACGGTTTTGTATTATATTCCAATACGACACCTATAGTAGCCTAGGCTAAGTTATAACTGATTATAACAAAAACAAACAAATAAATCTGAAAGAAAAATCTCTTAGATCCAATATACATCAGGTTTTTACACATTCTACAGAATTTATGTTTCCTGTGACCATTTACGCGTTTTGACCTAAAGGAATATGATTCAATGTTTAAAATGAGTTTATAGGCTACAATTAGGCTATGCTATAGTCACCAACTCGGGTTGGTGACTCCTGTTGGTGTAAACTGTATGAATTTGAGTTGAAAACTAAAGTGGTATTTACTTTTCTTAATTGATGATAATGGAGAGAAGAAAAAGGTGCTAATAACCAGATGAACTCCTTTAAAAGCATCCCGTATTTGATCATGTTAAGAGAATTTATGTCGTTATACCTGTACATCTATTTTGCTTATAAAAACCACTGTCAGTGATCATGGATTACTGTATCTATCTGGTGGTAGTGTTGTAGTACTTGAGACTGTGTCACGATCACACACAGGACGACAGAAAATTCAATTGCAGGTAAGTTTAATGGGGCAATCCAAAACGTAGTCAGCCAGGCAGGGGTCAAATTCAAATAATCAAAAGCAGTCCAAAACAAGAAACAAAACATGAACAGACAAGAAACCAACCAGAAGTGTGAGGACATCTAATGACGACTCCATAACAAACACTGACACAGACAGGGAATATATACACACAGATCTAACAATGTGATGGGAAACAGCTGAGTGCAATGAACTGATGAGTAACAGACAGAATGCTGGGAAATGAAGTCAAATGTGAAAGACACCGTGAGAACGAGGACCTCTAGCGACAACCCAGGGAAACACACCAGACACTGTGACATAACCCCCCCTCTACGGAGCGGCTACCAGACGCTCCACAACAACAACTACAACACAAGAGTTCAGGAGGGAGGTGGAATGGTGGAGGATCAGGGGGAGGGATGGTGGGCCAGGTCCATGAATGGAAAGAGGAACAGGGGGTGATGGTTTAGCCGGGGACCAGGGGGAAACAGAGAGTCCATCGGGCGGCCAGGGCGAAACAGAGAGTCCATCGGGCGGCCAGGGCGGTGAAGACCCCTCGGGCGGCCATGGCAGAGGCTCTGGAACAGACACTGGCACTGGCTCTGGCTCTGTAACAGACGGCACTGGCTCCGGCTCTGTAACAGACGGCACCGGCTCCGGCTCTGGAACAGCAGGCACCGGCTCCGGCTCTGGAACAGCAGGCACCGGCTCCGGCTCTGGAACAGCAGGCACCGGCTCCGGCTCTGGAACAGCAGGCACCGGCTCCGGCTCTGGAACAGCAGGCACCGGCTCCGGCTCTGGAACAGCAGGCACCGGCTCCGGCTCTGGAACAGCAGGCACCGGCTCCGGCTCTGGAACAGCAGGCACCGGCTCCGGCTCTGGAACAGCAGGCACCGGCTCCGGCTCTGGAACAGCAGGCACCGGCTCCGGCTCTGGAACAGCAGGCACCGGCTCCGGCTCTGGAACAGCAGGCACCGGCTCCGGCTCTGGAACAGCAGGCACCGGCTCCGGCTCTGGAACAGCAGGCACCGGCTCCGGCTCTGGAACAGCAGGCACCGGCTCCGGCTCTGGAACAGCAGGCACCGGCTCCGGCTCTGGAACAGCAGGCACCGGCTCCGGCTCTGGAACAGCAGGCACCGGCTCAGACGATACTGGCTCCGGCTCTGGAACAGCAGGCTCTGGAACAGACACTGGCACAGACTCTGGAATAGCGAACACAGGCATGTCCAGGATCCGAGCCAAACACTCCAAATAGTCGCTCAGTATACCCCCGGCTGCGAGAATGGGTATCTCCTGATCCGTCTCTGGCTGGGCAGACGGGACGTGAACAGTCTCTGGCTGGGCAGACGGGACGTGAACAGTCTCTGGCTGGGCAGACGGGCTGTGTCTCCTCCTCCTCCGGACCACCGGAACAGGGACCACCAGAAAAGGGATCATCTCACGACTACCTCCTCCACTGTGACCTCCACGGGTCCCGCGAAACTTGACCAACCGGGTCCCCTAAAAAAACTCCCTTCTCTCCCGCTCGGCGGCTGGGGAAGGGATATTGTAAAACATACCGCTGGATTGTTTTGTGACGGAGTCGTTCTGTCACGATCACACACATGACGACAGAAAATCCAATTGCAGGTAAGTTTAATGGGGCAATCCAAAACGTAGTCAGCCAGGCATGGGTCAAATCCAAATAATCAAAGCAGTCCAAAACAAGAAACAAAACATGAACAGACAAGAAACCAACCAGAAGTGTGAGGACATCTAACGACGACTCCGTAACAAACACTGACACAGACAGGGAATATATACACACAGATCTAACAATGTGATGGGAAACAGCTGAGTGCAATGAACTGATGAGTGACAGACAGAATGCTGGGAAATGAAGTCAAATGTGAAAGACACCGTGAGAACGAGGACCTCTAGTGACAACCCAGGGAAACACAACCAGACACTGTGACAGACTGGTCTTGAGACAATTTTTTGAAGGTCTTGGTCTTCTCTCTGTCTCAGCTGCATTTACACTCGGTCTTGTCTGGGTCTCAGATTTACCCTTTAAACGCATACCTCAGGTCTTTTGTGACCTGGGACGTCTTTCTCTACCCTCCTCCTCGTTCATTTTTTTTAGGTTAGACATCAACCTTAGTATTCCTCAATCAATTAATTAAAAATGTAATCATAAAAGAATGCCTGTTTTCCCATTCATTTTTTTTGTAAAAATTGTATAGGGTCGCTAACGACCCCAGGTGTATAACAGTACAAGTATATTTTATCTGAACAACAATAATTTGAATCTTTGATGACTGAATAAGTGTAATTCACCTTTATTTCAGAAGGTGGCAATGTTTGATACACAATGATAAAGTGACATTTCACTCATAGTTACCGCAGGCAGAAAACAAAAGAATAGGAAGTATCATCAGCAAAACTTGAAATGGCTCAGCAATTTATTGCAGAACAAGTACTGAACGCAATCAAACATTAGTGTCACTGTCACTCAATGATGTTTTCGTCAGTGATGACGATAACGAAATGATTTCGTTGACGCACTTTTTTTTTATGACGATAATGCGACGATGACTAGCTAAAAATGGCTCTAAGGTGACTAAAACATGACGAGACGTTTTCGAGTTTTCGTTGACGAGATGAGACGGAACGAAAATGATAATAAGTCTGACGTTCACAATGCATGTCATTTCTGCCTGTTTTGCATGCAATCTGTCTGTGTTGAGCTAAAAAAAAGTATCAGCAATGCTGCCTTTCCTATCCATGTTTTACGCGCAGCACCCGGCCGCAGCGCGCGCGCGCACCAGATTCAACACAACAACAACACAGGTTTCATCGTAGTTTAGTCAAGTCAATGGAGTCGGACAAAAACTACGATAAAACCTGCTGGAAAGCATCTTTCGCAGCGATTTTTGTGTGAGCATATCAGTGAACATCCCTGACCACTCGGTGAGTTTCACGTCTTTGTAAACTAAAGTTTAATGCGTTTTATGAATGATTGTTCCAGTGCACATAGACAACCATTGTGTAGGTGGGGGGTAAACCTAAAATTCTCGGGACAACAGCATTTGTCCAAATTTCAATCTTAACCGTTCTATTTCATCAGAAACGATCTTAAAACAGGGCTTTAAGTGTAAAATACCGAACTAACCACTTAAAGACCAAATTGTTTACAGTATTCAGGAATTGTCTTATTCATTTTTATGCTCAACACACTTCAAGTGTCATGTTTGTTTCATACTTTATATTCAAGTATGCATTCCTAACAACCTGTGTTCAATGCACCATATTATTTATTTATTTTATTATTTTGTTTCAGAATGTTTGCAACTTTGCATTTTGCACAAGTTAAAGATAGACAGGGTTGTATGATGTTTGTGTTTACAAATAATATGCATCTTGTTGTTGCACTGGCAGACAAGTTGAAGTGCAAGTTGTAGATCATATGTGTTCCTCAATAGCTTATATGTTGGGCACGTTGTTCATTGCACTTTAGCAATTTCTCAAATAAAGCCACAATTGCCAAAGTAAGAATGTTTTTATTCCTGGCTTTTTTGGAGTAAAACAGTGATTCCACTGTTACCACTTTGTCTGTGTGTAATGTTGTAGTAGCTCAATTTTTTTCAATTTTTTAAACCATTCCTTTATTACTGTGATTACTGGTGAAAATAGCATTTCATATTCATGGAAAAACTATAACTTGAAATATGGGGATAAAAGGTTTCTGCCCAATGTGACAATGAAGTACAGCTTGGCAATGGCACTGCATCTCCATCAATGAGAAAGTCTTTATTATGCAAAGGTTAAGGTTAGCTGTTGTTTTATGAATTGCAACACTTGCAACCTGTCAAACCTAAGCCCATTTCCAATACTTCTTAACCTAAATGAATTTGTTAAAGACTCATTTTTTTTTTTTTTTACTAAAGTTGACTAAAACTTTACTAAAACCTTTTTGTGTTTTCGTCGACTAAAACTTGACTAAAACCTTTTTGTGTTTTCGTCGACTAAAACTTGACTAAAACTATTACGTTTATAAGTGACTAAAATGTGACTAAAACTTAAAAGCATTTTCGTCCAAAAGACTAAGACTAAAACTAAAAGGGCTGCCAAAAACAACACATGGTGGATCTGGTGAAGAAGCTGTCATCGATCAAAATATTGATTTTGAAGATGTTGAAAATGATAGTTTTGAGAATATGTT